AGTCCAGGCATCGGGATCAGTTTCTCCAAATGCTTGGAGGGGGGGGGGGGGCAGAGTCCTGGTAGTCGCCAAAAGGGGACACAGGCACGAAAAAAACTTTTCGAGTATCGTCCACCTTTGTTCTAGTTTTATGGCTACTCATTACACACGCACACGCACACGCACACGCACACGCACACGCACACGCACACGCACACGCACACGCACACGCACACGCACACGCACACACACACACACACACACACACACACACACACACACACACACACACACACACACACACACACACACACACATATATACATATACATATATATATATATATATATATATATATATATACAACACTTGTTTTGTGAAGCTGAAGGGGTGCAGTTGCACCCATCTTTTGCGTGCTGAAAATGAAATCTGCTCCCAATCTAGCATTCAGTGCGCTGGTAATTTTTTCTGTATTTGTCATGTATTCACAAGAATAGAGTCTCCACATATGTTTCCCATCGCATCTCGTTTACACGAAGGCCTTTGAGGGATCAAAATTTCACCGATACAACATGCATTCCAATCAATGTATAACACATCTGCATTCCTCCACGCATCATTTCAGAAAGTGGTGCTCAACCTTTCCCAAAACGCTTGAGCACATGCCCTCACCTTGACCGTATCATTCCCCGATCACTTCTAATCCACGCATTGGGAGCCAGCGGCACTTCTGGGGGACGCTGTCCATGCTGGCAAATGAAACAACCACGATGTTAATGTCATGCGCAACGCAGGTTGATTGTCGAAGCGTTGCTGGTTGAGCTGGATCCTCAGCGATCATGCACGTCTGGAAAGGCTTAGCCTCCGTTCGGCATCCAGTAGAGGAAGGATTGCACATCATGGCTTTGACCACGCGAGCTCTCAAGCTGTAGAACAAAAACTCCGATACCCAGCGTTGCAGTCTCCGTAAGCTGCGAAGCATTGGCCCCTTGCTTGACGTCCGTGAAGTTAGCGGTTTATTCGGCGATTTATTCAGCGATGAGTTCCCATTTCTCTGAAATGTTTCTCAACGTCAATTTTGGCACGAGAACATTAAAAGTGACCATTATTTTGCAATATTATCTGACGTTCGAGGTCAAAAGCTAGGTCAAAGGACAAGGAACTCGATATCACCCAAGAATTGCCGGCCAATTGGAAAACTATCAGCATCAAAACATTCACAAGCGCAAGAGCTAGCGTCCGTCAAAACGTCCTTACCTCTCAAAGTCACCTTTCGGGGTCAAACAAGGCTCAAAGGACGGGGAACTCGATATGATCCAAAAATTACCGGCCGAATTCAACTTGAAAATTTCAGAATATTCACCACAGAAAGAACTAGCGTCTGACCTCTCAAGGTCACCATTTAAGGCCAAACGCGGACTCAAGGTACGGATAACTCCACATCCCCCAAAAATTACTGGCCGATCTTCAACTTGTAAATTTCAGAATATTTACCAGAGATAGAACTAGCGTCCGTCAAAAAGTTTTGACCTCTCAAGGTCATCCTTCAAGGTCAGACGCTTGCTCAAAGGACGGGGAACTCAATATCACCCCAAAATAGGTGGCCGATTTGGAGCCTGCCGCTGTCAGAATATTCACCAAAGAAAGCACTAGCATTCGTGTAAGGTGTGAACTTGAGAGGTCACGAATTTCTGACGGACGCTAGTTCTTCCTGTGGTGAATATCCTGACATCTGTGAGTTAAAGCCGGCCGGTAATTTTTGGGTTATACGGAATTCCCTGTCTTTTGAGCCGGCGTTTGACCTTGAAGGGTGACCTTGAGGTGGCAGGACTTTTTGACGAACGCTAGCTCTTGCGCTTGTCAATATTTTGATGCTTCTGGTTTTCGAATCGGCCGGTACTTTTTGGCTGATAGCGAGTTCCCCATCTTGTGAGTCCGCGTTTGACCTTGAAAGATGACCTCGGGAGGTCAAGACTTTCCAACAAGGTGCTAGTTATTTATTTGGAGAATATTCTGAGATTTGCAAGCTGAAAATGGGCCGGTAATTTTTGGGTGATGTCGAGTTCCCCGTCCTTTGAGCGCGTGTTTGACTTTGAAGAGTGACCTTGATAAACCAGGGCTTCTTGACGCACACTAGCTCTTGCGCTTGTAAACAATTTGATGCTTACAGTTTTCAAATCGGCCGGTAATTTTGGTGATATCGAGTTCCTCGTCCTCTGAGCCCGTGTTTGACCTCGAACTATCATCTTGAGCTCTCAGTACTTTTTGACGGACGCTAGCTCTTTGGTTTGTTAATATTTTGATGCCTATAGTTTTCAAATCGGCCGGTAATTTGGGGTAATATCGAGTTTCCCGTCCTTTGAGTCATCGTCTGACCTTCATGGATCACCGTGAGAGGTCAGGACTTTTTGACGGATGCTTGTTTTTTCTGTGGCGAAGCATTCTGACGTTTGTAAGCTGAAAACTTGCAGGGTCATTTTCGGGTGATATGGAGTTCCCCGTCCTTTGAGCCAGCTTTTGACCTTGAAGGTCACATGATATTGGAAAATAAGGGTCATTCTTGGTGTTCTTACGCCACAATTGACCTTGAAACCTTCTTCAAAGGAATCGGAACACGTCGCTGAATAAATATCTACCCTCACGGACATTTATTCAGGCGGGGTCAGCGGGCCGTCGAAAACGGCAACGTTTCTAAAAACAGTTCCTTTGAAAGCTCAAGGGTGTTAATTCGTACGTTTAGAACGTAGTCTGAGAGCGTGTTTCACCTGTGCAATCTGTATATCTATAATAGGAGCGGATTAGCATCAACGACACTGCGAGCCGCTGCCCAGTTTGATCGTGGAACTAGACAAGTAAAGAAAAAGTTTCTTTAAAGAGGATGTTCCACGTTTGAAGACACTTAAGCAAGCAGTTAGATCATATGAAATAAGCTCACTTACAACTATTGATGTACTTTTAAACGGAAAAGATTTGTCTAGATAACACAATTTATATATCGTGTTACACATTTGTATGAGGTTTTGAGCTAAAATAGCTACCTTGAAGATCATTCAGGTGTAGTTCACAGCCCTGCTCTTCTTAAAATCTAAATCGTTCTAGTCTTTGAGCCATACGTCCGCGAAAATGTGCAGGCTATTTCACGGAAAATAGTTTAAGGCACCCAGCATCAATGACGCCAAAATAACGAGGATCAAATCCTGCCATTCCATTAGCCACGAGACGACCAATGCCAAGAGGAATGTTATTGCCGATTCGTTCATATCTGACGTTCCTGAGCACCACCATTCCCGGATATAACGGCATTCAGTTGGCTCTCAATCAATGTTGTGCAAGGTACCGATGGTGCATTCAAACCATAACGTGTTGAAGGGTATATTTACTAAACAGGGCAATGGTGTTATCTAGAGCAGTTTATCCTCCTTGGAGGTATACCAATAGTTATGAGCAAGCTTATTTCATCATATATGATGCATGCTTCAGCATCTTCAAACGCAAATCATTCCACTTAAAGGCTATCACGGAAACCCTTGGCTGGTAGCCGTAAGGCGGGCTGCTGCAAACTGCAACGCAGCACTCGCGTTAGGCATATTGCACGCGGGTAGTGCCGTTTTGGTGGTCATTGTCGGACTACTGCCGCTATCAGTTTGGTTGGTTGGTGTCGATCGTCAAATTTCGTAACTGTTCTGTCGAACATTCGTCGAATCGGAGGACGGCATATTTCAGGGATTTTTTTGAACCTTGACGCCTAATGATGATTTGCCCAGCTTGTTTGGTGCCGACATTTGATCGGTCTGTTTTCATTTTAAGATAATGAATCGTATCGTATCATGGCAAAATGACGTAACTTGAAACAAATTAGTCGTGTAATTTAAGCATGCACCATGCAAGAAAAAAATCAAGATGCTCAAGTAGACGCGGTACGACCTATGAACGTAGAACGTCTGTAGGGTGACCAACTCAGTCAACTGTACTCAACTGAACGTGACACCGCAGTTTTTCTTTTCTTCGTTCATTTCACCTGTAAAACAATTGGCAGAAGCCTTCTTCGAAATTGATAATGATTCTGATCCCGATTTGTAACGCTTTGCTTGTAATTTGACTCCTGAACAATGGGGAGGAGGCAAACTCACCGGAAGGGGTCATATTGGATATGGGGGGGGGGGGGGAGCGGGGGCCCACCCAAAAGAATACATATCGACACCTGTGTGCTTTACGTCACCCGTTATCTGACATTGATGTCCTGACTGCACCTGTAAGCTGACTAGGGTGCAGCTCGTGGCCAGTGGCGTGGGGACCACTCAAGTCTTTTGCGAGGGTCAAAGTCAGAGTTTAGGACATTTACTTGACGGCAACGCCACAGAACTTAGCTTCAGTTTGGCAAAAGTTGGGCGGACTGCTGCCTCCTCTACTCCTCCTGCCTCACCTTCCTCCCCACACCACTTCAATCCACTTATACTGCTGCTGATGTTTATGTCAACATGCAAATGTAAGCAGGCACAAACATACTGTTTAAGTCCAGTATAAAGCTGTCTCCTGCTGCTACTGTTTCGGAAGTCTCAGGTCTTCAGATTTCATCTGACATTTTTGAACATTTTGATGTGACCCCTGACCGTATGGGATCCTTCTATACTAGAGGCTCCCTGGCTGACGCGAAAAGTCGAGCTGTCTCAACACCCCCCGATTCCTGTCTACGGCTGGCGCTTCTCGCCGCCTCTCGACAGCTCTGCGAGACATGCTCTCCCAAATCCTCGGACCGTTGTGCGAGACCCCACAGTCATCTTGGAATCCTTCAAACATTTTCACGACACATGCTCTGGTTACTAGGTACAGAACGCCCATTGTGGATCACCGAGAGCTGTTTTCAAGCACCCATGTAGCAGCAATGTGAACGTCGACAGAGACTGTACTCTCCGCTTCGGGGCTGAGCCACTCCAGTCGACCGTCCGTTGCGCTGTCAGAGCCTGTACCCGCGCCCGACCTCGTCGCGCGTCAGCCCCAGTTTCCATTGGTTCGGTGCAAGGCCCGTCGGTAGGCGAGAGAGCCGCGCCGGCCCGCCCAGACTTACCGGCACGTGCTGTGACGAGCGGCACCTGGTGATCAGGACCCGCCTAGTGTGTCGAACTGCAGCACGGAGACGTCCAGCCCCCGTGGCCCAACACCAAATAGCCCACCTCTCGGCTTCCCCAAGCCGTCGACCGCGAAAACCGCTCCGTCCATCTCTGCAGGGCAGATCTCGCTGGACCGTCTGAGACCTTTCAGACCAGCTGTGACCTGCCAGGCCTGCTGTGATCGTCCAGGCCGGGCGCGACCTGCCGCCTGCGGGGCTGTCAGTCTGACCTCGGGGTACCCCGAGGGCCGACCGTCCCAGCCCCAGCCCTCACACGGCACGCGTTGCCTGCGACGGCGAGACCCGCACCTGTCCTAGCGTCACCGAGGGATGGTTCGCTAGCCCTGCCGGACAGGTAAGTGCTCTTCAGGCTGGCGCCGTGCGGGGGCCATACCCGCCCATACACGACGTCGTCCGTGATGCGCAGAGTTGTGGGAACTAGAATGCGACATGTCATGTATCCACGAAATGCGCGGGCATTTGTGACTGCCGTTCAGGGGAGAGTTACCAAGGAGGCTTTTAACAGCTCTCAGCCCTGAACGCTCCATGTCAGTGGAGAACTGTCACATGTGGTGTATGACAGTGAAAACACTCACATGTAGTAGATGGAGTGCATGTGATAACATCGTCCTGTGAAGTGATTCATCGTCCAAAAGTGATTTGTCTTGAAGGTTCTGGCTTTACTATTCCTGTCGCTTTACAAAACGTATTCGATGTTTGTGCATAATGCACTCGGAATTGCCGAAACCATTCTTGATAACCGCGTTGATGGTGCTCTCATCACGCCTTCCAACACAAGTCTCTCGGAACAGCGATCCTGTCACGTCCCGGAGACCCGTGACCATCCTGACCATTAGGGGCGCTGCTAAGGGAGGACACGGGGAACTGGGCCCCTCTTTAGGCCGGGAGGAACAGCGATCCTGTCACGTCCCGGAGACCCGTGACCATCCTGACCATTAGGGGCGCTGCTAAGGGAGGACACGGGGGGACTGGGCCCCTCTTTAGGCCGGGAGGAACAGCGATCCTGTCACATCCCGGAGACCCGTGACTATCCTGACCATTAGGGGCGCTGCTAAGGGAGGACACGGGGGGACTGGGCCCCTCTTTAGGCCGGGAGGAACAGCGATCCTGTCACGTCCCGGAGACCCGTGACCATCCTGACTATTAGGGACGCTGCTAAGGGAGGACACGGGGGACTGGGCCCCTCTTTAGGCCGGGAGGAACAGCGATCCTGTCACGTCCCGGAGACCCGTGACCATCCTGACCATTAGGGGCGCTGCTAAGGGAGGACACGGGGGGACTGGGCCCCTCTTTAGGCCCGGAGTTTTCATTTTTCGCCACAGAGGACTTCCGACAGAAAGTTAAAAATTGGTGTGATGTGCACTCTCCGATCTCCGTGCCCCCTCCTTAAGAGACCCCTGGCTGCACCCCTGCTCATCCTCCAGTGCTGTAACTTGACAGATAGGCTATCGCGCACCCATCGCACTCATGTGAAGCTGTCTGAGATCCGAACAAGGTTAACCATAATTTATTGTGTTAAAAGCAATAGCCCTGTATGAATAGCAGCAGCCCGATGTGAATAGCACCAGCCTTGTGTGAATAGCGCCAGCCACGTGTGAATAGCACCATCCCTGTGTGAATAACACCAGCGACCTTTGTGCGACCTACCGCCAGGGGCACAGGAACCAGTAGGAAGCTAGGAAGGCTGGATGCCCGAAGCTTCAGGAAATTTCAGTTAACCTTTTTAGCGTTAGTCTAAAATAGATCACCAAAACTTGTTTTTTCCCCACCTCCCAACGCGGGAGACGTGGATTGTCCCTGCCTGCAAGCCTTTATGTTATCCGTATTGACTGCCCCTTCCGCTGTTTCTGTAACACTACATTTTCCTTTTGCTGTGATTTTTGGAAGCAAGCTTGTTTGCCGAATGCTGGGCCGCGAATAAGCTGTATCAAAGAAGCTTCCTCACTAGTATTCGTTGTTTTTCCACATTTCCCGCCTTAACTGATCGCAGCAAAATGTCACAGGCAGCCAGCTTCCAAAAAACATGTTATCCACCGGTCTCCTTTACTGTCTCCACCCAGCAGCAGTATGGATTGTATGTTGTTTCACCCAGCATGACAGGACGTTACATCCTCTTATCCCCGTCGAAGATAAGATAAATGCCCACGTCACAGTGAGATGAATTATGCATGTGCTTATTAGGCGCTTGGGTTACCGGCTAAAATGTGTCGAAATAGGAGACGGTGCGGACACAGACCCGAACCCTCCGGCCCAGCCGTCGAACAGGAGGCGCAACTGGGTAGCCAGCGCGCACCTAGGGCGGGTGACCTTTCACTGCCCCCTTCCCCTCCCTCCCTCCCGCCACGGATACGGCACCGAGGCGCTTATCGCAGTCACTCGACGTGAACCACCGCCGGACACAAAGGCCGACGCCGAGAGATGCGGCGCTCGCACCGCCCGAACCCGAGCCAGGCCGCGGGCCTCACGGCCGGCGACAGGCACAGCGGCGCGTCGCCGAACTCACGTGAAATCGCGTCATCCAGCGAGACGTCGTCGGCCGCTGCTGAAATCGGTGAAACGCCACCCGGCGCGTTTCGCAGCCGGTTGATTTCGGTCGCACGGCGGCTTCGGTCGCACGGTGGTCGCGCCGATCGGCAACGTCCGCGTGCGCGGGCGCCGGCGTCCCGGCCGCCACCGACCGGCGCCGACCGGCGGCAGTCTCACGGCGTCAGCTGGCAAACTGTCACCGCGCCGGACTGCCACATCGCTGCCGGACTGTCACTCACCGCAGCCGGACTGTCACGCACCGCAGCCGGACTGTCACTCAGCAGCCGATCTGTCACACTGCGCTGCTGTCGGCGACTGTGTCAGCGCTGACGGGCGTCATTGATGACGGCTGACGTCATTAAAGGTGGCGAATTATCACCGGCGGTGGCGGGTTACATCAGCGACCATGCACGTTGTCAGTGACGTTGCCAACAAATTCGGACGTTGTCACTGACAATACAAAATTATGGGGGATGTCGAGCGCTATTACTGTAGGTCGACGATAGCATCGCCCTGTAGACGGTGTGAGAGATCTTAATGCTGATGACAGAAACCAGCTGACCATTTTACACCAGCAGTGACCAAAATCCATTTGTAAGGCTGGAGATCAATGCTAGTAGTTGACGCCATATTCCTCTCTCGTGACAACGCACCGTCGACAGTCAGTTCGGAAAATCAGTGTGAGATCAAGCGCTTCTGGTCTATCTTCTGCGTGGGGACTTGAGAAAGCCAGGCTTTATTACATGTCGTGTGAGTAACCAACCGTGCAGTAAAGAAGCCGTTATCTTCTGTTGTTCTCTCGAACCAGCGTGGAATCCCTGATTAATTGTCTACCCTTCACTTGAAGTCCCTCTCCCTACCTCCGGTGCTTATCATTTCTTCTCCCTCCAGTGGCCATTAATCATGCACGTAGCACAGCCCGCGGCCGAATAAATGCACACGGAGCGACAGCCAGGTTTCGTCACACCGATCTGCTCCGAGCCGCAGGGGAGACGGCGCGTGACGGTGTCATAGCGCGCGGCCCGGAGAACAGAGCGGAGGTCAACACTGGTGTCAGCTCAAACAACGGTGGGGTGGTGCGCGCGCCCACATGTGCAGATCGAAAAGCGTATTATGAAGTGGTAATTTCACCATAATTGATCGAAGGGATGTCGGTGTGCTTAAGCACCTGCTGGGAGCGACCTGTCTGTCCGCTGGTATGCCCCTGTGCACAAATAACCGAGCACGCGGCTGCATCGGTCAGTGGACGATGTTGACGTCACCGCCACCAGAGGGAGGGGCGGCGCCTGACCTTGCTAGGTCGCCGCTGGAGGCAGCGATGCCCAACGAGCCGGCGAGCTCTGCGGTGGACACGCCCTCTTGGCCAATAAGGCCGAAATTCGCCGCTCTCAGCGTCCCGACTGCTGCGACACTGGCCGAGCATGACGCGGCATTTATTGCACAGGGTGTGTCGCGGCATAGTCCCGGACTCGCCGACAGTCATGCAGTGCATGCTGTGCACAGAATCAACCGACGACTTGCCAACGAATTCGTGGAAGCATGCGCAAGTCTGAGACGTTTTGAGGTGGACTCCATTGTCTGCAGCCTTGAACCGGTACTTTTGTCATTGTTTAGTTGACAACAAGCAACGGCAATTCCCTCGCCAGGCCGCAACACAATCGAACGGCGGACGTCCGCCACGCCCAGCACTGGAAAGTGCTTCAAAGCGCTCAGCGGCGGCGTGCGCCAGCCCAGCCTCTGAGCGTAGGTGCACTGGTTCCCCTGCCTCATGGCCCGCCGACCTCCCGCGAAAGCTTCGCAGGAACCCTGCGGCGGCGCGCGCGGCAGCAACGCCGAGAAGCGGAAGACGCCCCGGCGCGCCGGGCCCGGCCCGCCGAGGCATGCCAGTGCAGCTCGGGAGCGTGGCGTGGCTGGCGGCTGTGACGTGACGGGGGCGGCTCGGAGACGCCTAGCGGTGCCGTGGGAGCGTGCCGTGGCGTGACTGTGTCACCCTCGCGGCCGCCAGCCTCTCAGCGCACGACGTGTGGTAATCAGCTTGCCGCCGTCGCCACCGGCGTGAACTCGCCGGTATTAGAACCACGCTGAATTCCCGTGTACCGTGCGCTTGGTGCGGTGTGTGCTTCGGGGTTTATAGTTAGTTTAGTTCTGTGGAAGCTTCACCCTGGTGGGGAGCCGCCTTTTGGTGTTTTGTATCGGACCTCCTGGTAACAGCACGGGAAATGTATTTCTGCGCTCAATATTTAAGTCTACGTGAGGGCGCATCGGATGCCCAGGAGCAGGACGTGTATTTTTCGCGCTCCGGTTAATCACCACACATGGATATGCATTTAATAGCCTCTGCAGAAATACGAGGTGTTTTAATTTGTGAATTCAACTCGGCCGCCACTAAGCCCTTACTCGCGCGCCAACAGCGGTCGGAGTCATCGAACCCGACGTTACGAAAAGTTAAGCTAGTTTTTATTTGGCTGCGCTGTTCGGCTATGTGTACTTTTGTTGCACCCATTGTGACTCGCCGGTCGCTCGAAACTGCACCACCGCGTGAGCATGTGGTTCTTCTAGTTACTTTTTGTGAATACCGTATGGTCGATCTGGACTCCCAGGCCGCGCCCGCAGTGGCGGTGTTTTTGTCAGAGGCTGGGCCGTTTAGTGGTAACCAGCCTTGAACACGTTCCGATCACTTCGTATGGTTTGGAAAGCTCGCTGTGGAGACGACGGTCGCTTCTGGTGCCAATGGCTTTAGCGGTGAGGAATTATTCGATGATTTCGATAGTTTCTTTGAGTGTCGGGTAAAAGAGAAAACTAATTTCG